CACACACACACACACACACAGAGCCATTTGAAAGCATTTTTTGTTTTCTATTTTTGTTGATAGCTTGATGATTTGACACAAATTATTTAAAATGTATTGTGAAAAATGTGTATTTCAGATATATTGTCTTATGTCTGATTTGAATATTTGAATAGAAATTGGTAATTAATTTATCTTCCATAAAACATATGAAAAATAGTCACAAATACTTAGACAATAAGTAATTTAAATTTGGCTGTAAATAAGAATTTTCTGATAAGAAGGGTTGATAAGTACCTAAAGTTCACCAAAAGAGGTTGTGGAATTTCTTTTTTGGGATGTTTAATTCATGTGGTTTAGATGTAACCCTATGTGGTAACAGGACCACGAATTACTAGTCTGATCTGTAGCATTATAAGATTGTAATGATTATCTATTTTTATTTCTATTATTTAGAAATAGCAAGAGAAGAAGCATGATATAATTTTTTCTTCTCTCAAAAAAATAAAAAGGGAAATACTTTATTATTTTTAAGAACTTAAGTGAACTGTCCTGTCATAACTAAAGTGGTAGTGAAAAAGCTGCCTGTGGCTGGAAACAGGAAACATCAGTGATAAATGCTGTGTTACGTATTTTTTTTTCCAGGTGCAGCTCAATGTATATTGAGTCTAATTAGCACATTTTGTGTCTCAGCGAGTAGCTCCCCGTTAGCTCTGCTTGGAGAGTTTTTTTTAGCTTCCATCCTGCTCATAAACACTGCCACCTCCTCCCTCCTTCTCTCTTTACAAATGTTACAACACAATCAGAAATTTCCTCTTTTCTTCCCTTCCTGCATTTCCAGCAGGTTCCCTTGCGTCAGAAGCAGAGAAGGAAAACTCAAGGTAATTAGCTCTTTTGTGTCTTTATCTTCTGTTTGTGTGCGTGAGTGTCGCTTTCTCTTGGATGCCTTCTGTAGGATCAGATTTTTGTCTGCCTTAATGCTACTATCAGGCGGTGGACGGCAGATTAATTTGGGGTTATCTTGGATCGATTTTAAGAAATGACGGCATGCCGTTCATTTGGACTAATCTCCCGTGGGATGTCAACAGAGCTCAGGAAGACTGGCACAGAGTCGGGTGGCTGTGTTTCTAGGTGGGCATTAACCCTTCTCTGTCTGTTGCATAACTACTGCTATTATTGTTGAAATGAGCTGTGTTGGTGCAGTGATGTGCCTGCCAGACTCATCATGGTTTTCATCTTTCTCAACTTATTTGGTTGAGGAATATTCTAAGACTAACACTTGCACGTGAGTCTCACTGTTTCCTTTGATCGTATCTTGTACCTTCTAAGCATCAAATGAATGTTTAAAAATAAACTACTTTTTGTTTGCATTTACTTTGCATAAATCTTGGTTAAAAAAGAATCCGACTTCCAGGAGGTAAACAATGAACAGTTACCTTTCATTCTGTCACATAAAGCAGGGTAATAACACATTACCTTTTCATGTAATTGTTGCAGGGTTTTTCACCATGAGTCGGAGGAGGATATCGTGTAAAGACCTGGGGCATGCTGACTGCCAGGGGTGGCTGTATAAGAAAAAGGAGAAAGGAACTTTCCTAGGCAACAAATGGAAAAAGTTCTGGGTGGTGCTGAAGGGATCGTCGCTGTACTGGTACAACCATCAGTTGGTGAGTCCACCGCTTCCTCCCGTGCCCGGCCTCTGTAACAAGGGGTGGGTCAAAGGCCAGTGCAGGGCAGGTGATCCCCATGGGAAAGACAGTTTTTATTTCTGGGATCTGGGACAGAGCAAATGAACAAACACGTTCTAGAAACCATTTCTGGTCCAATAGATATGTAGGTCATTCGACTACTTTACAGAGAAGAAAATCATCTTGCTTGACTGACCTTTGATTGGAGACAAGCACCCAAATGTATAAAGGAGGATTTCAGGGCCTATTAATATTACTCTTCCATGAGAAATGCTAATCACTTCAGGATTTACCTGAGCAGCACTTGATAGGGGAACGTGACATTGTTAAGATCTCTACTAAAAAAAAGGGGACTCAACTTTAAGACCCACTGGGGGTGTAAACTGTTTCAGTCCACATTCTCCTTTCTTTATTATCTCCTCCTTTATTATCTTCTTTTCCTCTGACCGTCTTTATGGGCGGGTTGGTTCTGGGATCGCTAACCTGTGTGCCAGTGTTGTGTTGGTGGCTGTCCTCTCTCGTTCTTTGGCGTGTGCAGTGATGGCATTAAACTAATGATGCTCGGAGAGCACTTGATGAGAAAGTTGCCTAATTTGTCTGGTAATAGGCAGTACAATTTTGTGGTCGGCTTCACAGGCTGGTTTCCTGTTGGGAAGGGCTGGCAATAAAAGTTATTGTTCAAAGGTGCGCTGAGTTTTCCTGGCTTGAAACATTTTGAAAATAACGATGTTGCTGAATATCGAATTAGAGCCCTTTCACGTGGGAACTCTGTCCACTAACCCCAGAGCCGTCAACTGCTGATCTCAGGAGAGCTTGGGTTTCTCTTTGTGGTACAGTCGAGGTCAGCAACGGGTGTGCTTTAATCTATGAAGGGGAAATTATTTAAAAATTGCCCATTAGCCAGAAAAATTCTTTTTTATGTGACACCATTCTTTTAAAATGATTTGTGCACGCCCATCTCTCAAGCAACAAAGCTTTAGGGCATGAAACTTTATAAATGTAGTGTAAGTGCCCTGTGCAGTTGGTGGGCGACATTTTTAGTTGATAAATTTACATTCACTGGCCACTAATAAAAAATGTGTGCCCCCACGTGCCCCAAAGCATCTGTCCTGCAAGGATCCAGTTAAAGTGGACTCAAATCCAATGGCAGGGCCGTGGAGTAAGCACTCCCCCGCTGTGCTTCTCTCTGGAGCCCCTCTCCTCGTCCTCTGTTCCCAAGCTTATTGCTTTGGTTTCACTCAAAACATGGCACAGACATCTTCACTGAGTTTTACAGAAATGTACTTTTTGAGCTTTCAGTCAGTTTGAACAACCTATCAAAGATTTGGGAGGTTCACGAGGACGAACCCCCTTGCAGAGTATGCAGTCTTCCACTGTCTTCTTTTCTCTCTTTTCTTCGTCCCTTCTGGGTCCATTCATCTCCCCGTCTAGCATGGAATGGTTTTACCCAAATTGAGGCAACCTGGGGCTGGGGTCTATCCTAGGGCATTTCCCCTAAACAAATACAGCTTCCTTCTTAAGGAAGGTTAGTTAATTAAGGTCTGTAGACATTTCTTCCTCTCGTTTATAATATTTTAGGCTCTTGCTTTTGGTTCGTTGTGGCCAGTGATGGTCCGCGTCTTTCAGAAAACGAGAGGGCTTACTGATTTGCCTTCTAATAGCTCTCTAGGAATTTTCCAAGGCTGTTGGAAGGACTGGGTGCCGACGGAGCATGGCACCACTGTGGGAAGCAACGAAGCTCAGATATAAGCATGGTGTTCGTTTTCTCATTCAATCACATCATTCTGCATGTATGTTCTGGGTGCTGTCCCTGTCTTCATGGAATTTAGAGGAAGCCCCTCCATACCATACACAGTTAATACAGAATTGGCTTATCTGGCTTCATCAGTTCATTTGGCTTAAGCTTCTCTTAGAGGAGCAATCGATTACCTATTTTAGGCATTAGGAGTCTCATGCTTCCACTGGGAGCAGGGGAGCAGCGCTGTTGACTGAGACCAGACTAGAAAGAGGAAAAGGAGGGAGCATCTGACCCACTCAGCACCCCGTCCTCACTTGCTTTCATGCACACACCTAAAGCAGTATTCAGGTAGCAAATCATGTAGAGGAATAGAATCAGATTAGCAACGTTGAATGGAGAATATGTTTACTGTTATCTGGCACAGAATCATCCTATTAAACTAGTAGAATATAACGGAAGGACCCTTTCAGCTCCCTAATTCTATGACTATGTGACAGTGGAATCCTCTCTCTCCACACACATGCACACACCCTGATATCTCAATTATGTTTGTTTTGGGGAAAAAAGGCTACCCAGTGAATACTTAATTAACAGTGTTACAGTCCTGCTATCTGCGTGAACAACTGTGAAATAAGAGCCAACACATACCCTCAAGCTGAGAACGTTCACTTCCTTCCTGTCACTCAAGCAGTTCCGGTTCAGCAGAGTAGCTTCCCAGGCACCCAAGCGTGATGAGCAAACTACTTCGTCCTCTGCCTTCCCGACTCGCCGTTCTTTCTTACATGGTAATGGAGCTGATGGCATCACAGCCAGAGCCATCACTTACTGAACGCCTACCATACGCCAAGGGATAATCTGGGTACCTCTCATACATGCTTTCTTTAATGCCTCAAAAGTACCCTCCGAGGTAGCAATCATCACCACGTCTTGAAAGTTGGGAGGGCTGAGACTCCGAGACCCTGTGCATGTTGCCCCCAGTGACCCAAGTCCTAAGTGGGGCAAAACAGATCCCCTCCAGCCCCTTTGACTCCTCAGCCCAGGGCTGTTGCCATATGACAGCCTGACCCCACGCAGGGACGAGGATAAATCCCCCGTCATCTGCCTTTACGGTAGGGTTTTCAAAGAACAACTCTAGAAATGAAATGTGGGGCAGCTCTTTTGTGCAAGTACAAGCGAGCTCATGGGATCCCTTTGCTTGTTTCTGTGGTTCCCTGACACAAGCCGAGGGGACCACATCACCCTTCCCTCTCTCAGCATTCTGTTGTCATGGTTGCTACCCAGTAGCTGAGATGGTGCCCCACACTTCACTGCTTCAAGCAGCATTACCCAGATTTCCTCGAGAAAGGTCAAGTCCAGAGCCTCATCTACCATTTTTCACAGCCCGCAATACTTGCGTAGACGATGATTCAGTGCACGAGAAGGCATGCTGAGTCTTACGGAGCCATATTCAAGTTTAACAGCCTTAAAAATCCTGGCTGTTGAAAATCCTGAGTTGAAATCCAGGCCCTAAAGTCTTTCTCCCCCTAGTCGCTTCAAGCTTATTCGTCCTCCTAAGTCGAATTTTAGTTTAAATAGTGCATCCTCTCGGTATTCTTGCCTTTCCCCTGACCTAGATCAGGCTGCCTCTTCCGCTCCCAGAGCAGCCTCTACTTGACCTTACTACACTTCTCTTTCTCTTAGGTGCATGTTGTCAGACCTGCTGTTTTCCATAGCCGACGACCCTCTCTGTAGAGCAAGACCACAGTACGTCTTTAGCTCCTTGCATGGTGTCTGACAGTTAGTAGGCACTCAGATAATGCTTGTTGATTCCATAAATAAGTGAGATTTAGGAATTATCAGCATTTACCTTACCCTTAAGAATGTTGAGAAACGGGATGGTGAATAAGGACTGCTTTTGACGGAAAATAATTTTCCAGTAAAGATGTTTCCACATCTATTCCTAAAAAATACAGGAAGAGGTACAATTGGAGAGTTGTCAGATGGGCTCCATGGTCCCACATGGGTCCCACATAGCTGCTCCCATTCTGCTAACATCTCATCAGAGGCTGCTTTATTAGGTGCTTTCTAAGCATGGCCTCTGGTCGAAAACGAGGGTTGATTGATCAAGATCACGAGGCTGGGGGCAGAAATGTTGAAAGAGAGAAGGAAGGTTTTCCAGGGAAGTCCCTCCATGCTAGCATTTCACCTGGATTCTAGGTGTAGCTGGAGACTAATGTTTGGGATCAATATCTTCTCTCTGGTGACAGAGAAGCAAAGTTCCGAATCATTGTTTTCCTTCAGGCACATCAGTATGAAGTAGTGACAGGATCGGTCCTTAAAGGTGTTATTACTTATTTGTTAAAACTATCTTAAATTTTAATATTTTTAGATTTCTCCCTTTTGCTGTAACTTCTTATTTTTCTTTTCTAAGAATTCTTAATTAAAATTTTGCTTAGTTCCTTGGGAAATGTATTATGGATTTTATTTATACCCAAGACAGATCATATGGTAAATTTTATATATATTATTTTATTATAGAACCCGCTTAAAATCAGTGAGGTTCTTAAATGTTTTTACTCATCTTTGTAGTATATTTTCCTACATTATCCAAAAACATCATGTGGACTATCAAAATACATCAAGGGAACATATGCGTTATGCTGGTATACAATTTGGAGACATTGCCCAAACAATTTAAGCTTTAATTACAAAGCACCATTTAATGTTAGTAACAGATAATATATTAAAAAAATCTCTTTTTAAGTGAGCTCAACGCGAAGAGGTTATCATCCATCCATCCATCCATCCACCCACCTGCCCACTCACCTACATATCCTTTCACCAGCATTTACTGAGGACTTAAAAATAATTTGGGCTAACTGTTACAAATGCTATTATGGGATTTAAAAAAAAAAGACTAAAATTCTTCTCTCAATTAAGAGTTCACAGACAGGTGGGGGGAAAAGACCTATGTAAATGCCATGCTCAGAGAAAAATTGGTGAAAAAAATGGTTCTGGGGTTGAGCGATACAGATGAATTCTGTACATTCCAGGGATGAGGGAAGTATTCTGGGCCAAATGTGAGGGAATTCTGCCACAGCAACTTTTGTTCCTGGAAGATTCTCTTTCCTTTTTACCCAGGAAGGTGTGTGTTTTTTCTTTTTTAAAAAATTATTTTCCAAAGCTGAATGATTTCCTTGGTCAGAGGCCAGCCTTCTTCACTAGATAAACAGTTCTTACCAATTAAAAACATTATTTCCGT